AGAGACTATTGCAGAGGAGGCTAAATTTTGAACGGGTGGATCCGTTTAATTATAGCTGCAAAGGATGGCCTCTCTACAGTCTGTTAGTGCAACAGCAAGGAAGCACGATGGAAATTCGGTGAGAACTGCCAGTTCTGAGCACAAGCAGCAGCTCATATCCTCTTTTCTCCAGCTACTCAAAGTGTGGTCTATCAAAACCACAAAGACATTCTTATGCTACAACCCAGAAAAAATATCTGTTATCATTTGGTATACTATTTCTTTCTTTTTCTATGTGCATAACAAATTTTTGTCTAAAATTATATTACATTTATGCATTTTGATGTGAAACCTGTTTTTGAAAACATTATAGGAAGTCATGTGCGGATCCTGCTATAACTGAGCTCTGAGTTTTGCACACTGTCTCAAGTTTTCACATATGATAAAAAATGCCGTGACAAATATACATAAAATTTAGGGTGCACTCTAATTAATTCCTCTGGGTAAACTCAAGAAATAGACTGAGTCAGTGGATATGGGTATTTTTACAGCCTTCCTGATATACACTGTTAGACCGTCCTTCAAATGGTAGCACCAGGTTTTTAAAGAATTTAAAAATCAACTACATGAATCATATGCTCCTATCTTTTAATGCAAGACAGATGACGTCTGAATAAGAGACTAAGTTTCTTAGAAAACAAATAGCAGAATTGGACAAAGTAAATAAATCACATAAATTTAATGACAATTAAGTGACAAATCATAAATAATGGGCTTTACAGCCTATAGATTTTGTCCTCTGAGTTATTTTTAGGGTTTCTGACATTACTGAGTTTTGATCATGCTTATAATTAAATTCTGTATTCTTATTGTAAATCACTGGTATTTAGAATCTGACCCTACGTTAACTGTGAATCTAGAATATGGTCCCTAATGGCTACAACAGTGAATTATTTCTATAAATGAGCACTCGCTGGGGACAGAAACTCTTTTAAGAGAGACCTGAAAAATCTAATCAAGAAATATTTCAAGCTTAAAGTACAAATATTGGTTAAGTTATTCTAAATGCTGTCTTGACCCCAAAACAAGCAAACAAAAATATACCAAATAAAAAAGGGGGAGGGGAGAAAATTACAGGGGAAAAAATTCTAAAATAAAAGGTAAAGTGCAGGGGCGCCTGGTGGCTCAGTCGTTAAACGTCTCCCTTCAGCTCAGGTCATGATCCCAGAGTCCTGGGATGGAGCCCCACATCGGGCTCCCGGCTTGGCGGGAAAGCCTGCTTCTCACTCGTCCACTCCCCCTGCTTGTGTTCCCTCTATCACTGTGTCTCTCTCTTCAAACACATGTTTAAAAAATCCTTAAAAAAAAAAAAAAAAAAAAGGTAAAGTGCAAAAAAATCAAAATAAGAGGAAGAAAAGTAGAAACATGAAGTTGTATTACATAAACATGAAAAGCTCACTTAAAAGGAACATTAACAGAGGTAACAGCGGAAAGCGCGGTCAGGGGCGGGAAGATGGAGAAAACAAGAACTAAGTCAATGGAACACGCCAAGAGAAGGTGGTGAAGAAAGGCCACAGCGCAGTCCGGTGCTCTAGCTCACTTCCGTCTGTGCTACACTTCGGCCATCGCAACTAAGCAGGACACAGCTGGGACCGGGAAAGCCAGAGAGAAAAGGATTCCTACAGCACCCAAACTGCCAATCCCACAACAAAAGCTCCAGTCACCTCCACTCAAACCTTAAATAGAATGCTCAGAAATTTGCTTGTGTTTTCTCCATGTTAAATGTAAAACAGAAGGAAAGAGAGATTTCTAGAGACTGATACTCTGATAATCCTGTCGCATTTATCAGTGATAAAGGGGACACACACACACCATCACCACTGTTGCCACCACCAACAAAAAGCTCAAGAATGGAGAAAGTAGCTGTCTGAAAACATCAGAAGGGACAAATAACCCAGAGCCTCACAATTATCCCCAAATGCAGCAGAAGATGACATCCCTGAGCTATGAAAAATATGTAAGTTATAACCAGTGAGCTCTGTATGTCCATTAGGACAGACAGACCACATGTAAACGGGTTTCCACTCTGCATGATTAAAATTAAGAAGTGGAGACAGGCCTCAATACCTGCAAATTTTCCTTATGTTAAACATCTCATTTTCGAGCCAAGATAATTAGTACAACAAAAATAATGAAACATAGCCACAGATGGTCAAGAACTATAATTTTGAATGTGAAAACGATAAGGAAACCATATTTTAAATCTCTCTGCATGATATGAACACGGTAATTAGTGAGCTAGCATGGTTGGTGTCTCATCCACCCGCATCTGATGTGCAGTGAGTGATCTGGCATTCTGAGCACACAGACCTGTCACGCTGGCCTGGGCATGTGCCCTCTGTTATCACCTGAATACTGGTCACTTGTATTTCTCCAAGAGCTTCAAAAGCCACACTAAAACAACAACAACAAAAACCCTGCCATCACCTGGATCCCTTCCACGTTTCACACAATACTAAAATTTGCACTTTTTCACTAACAGTACCACAGAGAACTGCAGTAATTTTAGGACTCAATCAACAAATGCTATTTGGCAAAATTTTGGCACTTACTCTGTGCCAGGTCCCAGCTCAATGATGTAAATGTGGCAGATTTAACCACAGAAACTTACAGACTCCAGAGTTACCCACCATGCAGTTATATCACCAATTTTCCACTTTTCAGCCACTTTCTCCAGTACTAGTAAAGATAGCAATGTATATTCTTTACCTGGTGTCACTACCATTAAAAACAGATAAAATTCCAACTTTCTTTTTCTTTGTGTTTGAATGAAATACAATTTCATCCATATTATATTATCTTCCTCAGGCAAACACTGTGCTAGAATTAAGAAAATACTACGAAATTTCAGCCTAGTATTTTGAGATACCATGTGAAAAATACTCAGAAGAGTATTTAATAAAACTGTTTTATTACTAAAAACTTGTTTTACACTGCAGCTGAATTGAAATGAAGATAAACCAGATAACAGCTGACCAAACACATTATCTAAGACCTTAATCCTTTAGAATATTTATATCTATATCCGGTGAGCCATCCAGCTTTCCAACTTTCGATGTCATGGTAACATATAAGAAAAAGCACAGAAAATAAATGTACCTATCAAGTCATCTGGCCCAAAAGCCTGTGCTTAAATCTGACCAAGCCTCTAGATCTTCCAATTAAAACAAAAAATGTGGGACACAGAAGAGCATCATGGAGATGCGATCATGAAAATCCAGTCCATGAGCAATGCTATATAGGACAGATGACCCAGTTTCAACAAAGCAATTCTTAGGGTATCTCAACACTTCATTAAAACCCACAACTTCAATCTCACCTCCCTGAAACCTGCCAGAGTTTCTTCCTTACAGCGTGGCACTTTGATCACTGTACTGTATCACGAGTGTGCCTCCCATTACAGGATTAGTCTATGGAGCACAACAAAGTAGCTTAGAACAGGGCCAGGAAGCTAGACAGCCTGAGCTGAAATCCCAGTTTCGCACCCTCAGTTAACTCATCTATAAAATGGAGAATATACCACCTGCTGCTCAAAGAAATTTAAGCATTCAGTGAGAAAATATATGTAAAGCACTTAGCACAATGCTTGGCATATCTTAGTAACTATCTAATGAATGAATAAATGAAAACCATAAACAAAAAAATTAAATAACTCTGAACTTCATGTCCTTTGATTTCATTTAATCTTACAGTATCTAAGGAACAGTAAAATGACAAGATGGCCAACAGTAAGAAAAGATTTAGGAAAAGTAACTGAACAACAACAAAAAAAGAAGCAAAAAAACAGGCTCTAAATTTCTAAATAACTGAGCTTAACTCTAAGCTACTAAGGAAAAGTTTAATCACAGTAAATATCACCCGATGAAGAATATATTTATTTTAAAAAGGGCTAATCTTGACCAAACCTGGTAAAAATAACCATATGTATTTTCTACCAAAAAGCACTCAACATAATCATCTGCAAGCAAAATTTTGATCATATGGAAAGCATTTTTAAAAGACTTTTTAGGGGGGTGCCTGGGTGGCTCAGGGGGTTAAGCCTCTGCCTTCAGCTCAGGTCATGATCCCAGGGTCCTGGGATTGAGCCCCGCATCGGGCTCTCTGCTCCGCAGGGAGCCTGCCTCCACCTCTCTCTCTGCCTGCCTCTCTGCCTACTTGTGATCTCTGTCTGTCAAATAAATAAATAAAATCTTTAAAAAAAATAAAATAAATAAAATAAAAAAAATAAAAGACTTTTTAGGGGCGCTTGGGTGGCTCAGTGGGTTAAGCCTCTGCCTTCGGCTCAGGTCACGGTCTCAGGGTTCTGGGATGGAGCCCTGAATCAGGCTCTCTGCTCAGCAGGGAGCCTGCTTCCCCCTCTCTCTCTCTGCCTACTTGTGATTTCTCTCTCTCTCTCTCTCTGTCAAATAAATAAACAAAATCTTAAAAAAAAAAAAGACTTTTTAAAGTGAAACAAGGGAGACAAACTATAAGAGACTCTTAATCTTATGAAACAAACTGAGGGTTGCTGGGGGGTGGCGGGGGAGATAGGGTGGTTGGGTTATGGACATTGGGGAAGGTATGTGCTACGGTGAGTGCTATGAAATGTGTAGGCCTGGTGATTCACAGACCTGTACCCCTGAAGCAAATAATACATTATATGTTAATTAAAAGAAAAAAAAAAGACAGAGAAAGAAAAGACTTTTTTAAGGTCAACATTACTGTTCTGAATCTCTTCAGTTTCATTGCTTTATCCCCCCCAAAAAAAAACAAACTAAACAAATTAATTCAACCAATTTTTCCGTCTCAACAGTAGGTGGCATAACGTACATACTCTGAGCCAGCTGCTACAAAGCGAACGATGTAGCACAAACAGAAAAGTTCAATATAGCATCATCCAAAATTCTGAAAACATTAACTTAAAACTGTTCAAAGGTCCTGATTTCAAGATACAATTTTTCAAATAATGGGAAAGTACTTACATCTCAATTTGTCCAGCATTTTTCCACCACACATGGTTGCTAACATAGCTTTAACTGAAAATACGGTCAACTTGCCTCGGCCCTCACTGCAAAATAAATTATATTAGAGACAATTGCTATCTGGAACCACAAAAGCAATCAAAGGTATCACTAAATATCAAGCAATTAGTAAGCTGACTCTTACCCTAATATGCTACAATATTACCTTGGATTTTTAGAAACCTTGGGGTTTTTTCCTTTGTAGAAATAAGCTCTCGTGTATGTTAGGCAAATAGTGTTAAAACTACCTGAATTATTTGGAAAGGAGCTTTACAAACATTCTGCAAAGAAGTTTCTACTGGCTTGTACACAGAGGCCAAATGGATGAACCAGAAGTAAATTTCGCCCATGAAATCCACAGCTGAGTTGTTTTCAGCATTCAAAACTGAGGCATCACCTTGTTTGAATAATTCAGAAATGTGTCCTCCCACCATGATAACAATAGTTTATTGTTATGTACTAAACCCACAGGGTGCACACTGCTATAAAGATTTTATATTACATTCATCTTTGTTTTTACTGTGACAGGTTTATGTGACACCATGTGTTTATCCTAAGAAGCTTGATATCTCTGTCTCAGATCCTCCCAGGCCACCACTGTGAGAGAGTGGAAGGGAAAGGATGGTAATATTAATTCTTTTTCAGTGACTGGAAAGATGAAATGTGGAACATATATGAATTATCCAGAACAAGATTGCACATCACGTGCAGAGCCAAGGCAAAGTCAGCAAGGCCCCCTGACCTAACACGTCCACCGTGCCGAACGTCCTCCGTCCGTTCAGCACGCCCTGGTTTCACAGCAGGTGAAAACTTCACTAGCCAGATTTTAAAGTCATCACATGCAAACGAACAAGGGCTTTTGTGTTCACTTTATGAAGCATGTGCGTACAAAGTTTCACAGTAACATAGCTTTACAATAAAGAGAATTGTACCATCTTAGTTTTGAAAAGCAAGTGTCATCCTATGTATCTTTACCAATGTTCCCAATAGAGTGTCTTCCATTTTCCAAAACTTTTATACAGTAAGAGCACACCTGGAAGACAAATGGTCCATGAGCCTGAAGGTTCGCAGTGCAAAGATCTCCAGGAAATACTGATGTTTGTTACAGTCCGATTTTCACCTATTACACCTAACTAAGGTTATTCGTAAGATAAAACAGGAATCCCTACAATGAAAAAAAATTAGGATGGGGTTTTTATTTTACCTTTTAAAGATCTTATTTTTAAGTGATCTCCCCACACACAACGTGGGGCTCAAACTCACAACCCAGAGATCAAGAGTTGCATGCTCTACTGACTGAGCCAGCCAGGCACCCCAGAATGGGGTTTTTAAAATATATAGTTCTCTAGAAATACAGATAACTGCTGCACATCTTATAGGGCACCTGCCAACAGAAGCACTACACCCAAGTCAAATACCCATGGTGCTGTATAAGCAACATGAGTAGCTACAAAGAACATCAACTAGGAAAGGGAATGGATTTCTAAGACTGATACAGAACTTTAATGGTGGACATTTCTTTTTGGTCACCAACCACCTAAATGCCAAGTCTGTATTTAAGCATGCCCTATCTTCTGAGACCAAGACACGTCCCACCACCAGAGTGTGAAGGAGGAAGAAAAGAAAACCTCGCCTGTCTGCCTTCCCATTTTCTTCAACACTAAGACATGACCACATGCCACAAGCTCCACCAACAAGATGCACCCACTTGAGACCACACAGAAAACGATTAACTTTTAGAAGCTGGACCACCTGGCCACACTGGGAGGGCTTCCATCCAGCTTCCTGAGGCAGCCGAGATGGACTCCCCCTGGCAGCGCCGCAGCCCAGTGGCCACGGCATTCGGAGCACAGGCAACAGTGTCTGTGGCCCGGAGAGGCGGCAGACGTGTCTCCGTGAGACCCGTTTTGTGACACAATCGTGAGGTATATTTTGCTTGGCAGTGTGGTCATCAAGCCCACTTTCCCAACCTTCTCAGGGAGTCTGCGGGTCACACAGATCCTTTTAACAGATTAGCCAGAGGTGGCTTCTATTGCCTACAGCTAAGAACCCTGATGGATGCAGTTTCTATCCTTGAAGTAAAGAGGCCCAGAAAGAAGAAGCAACAGAGAGAACATTCATGAAGCCCTGAGTGCGAGGAGGCAAGCCCAATGACCAGCAGAGCAAGAACGAAGACGAAGTACACCAACAGTAGATGAAGCCTTGATGCAGAGCGAAGGACATTTTTTAAGATAAACTTGCTCAAATATTTTTTTGTAGACACTGATTTCATGATGTGAGAATATCCAGAAGAAAGTAAAAAACAATCTTAGAAGAGGTTTCCATAAAATTCAGGCTACCAATGACCTCTGGGAGAAAGGAAAGGGGTGACAGAAAGGAACACACCAGGGGCTCCCGGGTCTGACAGTACCCTGCCTCCCTCCCACCGGAGTGCGTACATGCGGCATGGGCTCCAAGGTGACATGTCACACTATGCTTCATTTTAGGTCTCCTTCTGTAGGCATTTCCTAAATCCCAATAGAAACTGTTTAAAAAGGGGGAGCCTGGGTGGCTCAGTGGGTTAAAGCCTCTGCCTTCGGCTCAGGTCATGATCCCAGAGTCCTGGGATCGAGCCCCGCATCGGGCTCTCTGCTCAGTGGGAAGCCTGCCTCCCCCTCTCTCTCTCTGCCTGTCTCTCTGCCTACTTGTGATCTCTCTCTCTCTGTCAAATAAATAAATAAAATCTTAAAAAAAAAAAAAAGCTGTTTAAAAAATGAATCCTGGAAAGTGAAGGTTACCATTACTGGACACAGCTAACGGTTTAAGGTGGAAAATGAAGGGAAACCCACAGGTTAAAAGACATTTAAGATATATAAATGGCATGCATAAAATTTTTCATAATAAAATGCATAAAAACAGCCATCAAAAGAAATGAAATCTTGCCTTTTGCAACGACGTGGATGGAACTAGAGGGTATTATGCTTAGCGAAATAAGTCAATCAGAGAAAGACAACTATCATATGATCTCCCTGATATGAGAAAGTGGAGACGCAACATGGGGGGTTTGGGGGGTAGGAAAAAGAATAAATGAAACAAGATGGGATCAGAGGGAGACAAACCATAAGTGACTCTTAATCTCACAAAACAAACTGAGGGTTGCTGGGGGGTGGGGGCGGTCGGGAGAGGGTGGTGGGGTTATGGACATTGGGGAGGGTATGTGCTATGATGAGTGCTGTGAAGTGTGTAAACCTGGCAATTCACAGACCTGTACCCCTGGGGATAAAAATACATTATATGTTTATAAAAAAATTAAAAAATTAATTAAAAAAATAAAAAATAAAATGCATAAAAAGAACAAAAATATTAAAAATACCAAGACCCAGGCCCTATCCTTAAATGCCCACTGAAAGAAGATTGGCTATTTATGCTATCATAAAAAGAATGAAAAATAATAGTGAAAGATAAAGATTTAAATGCAAGATAGATTACTAAGTTAAAAAAAAAAAAGGCAAATCATGGAACAAAATGATTGCTCTAACGCTATCTAGCATTCTGTGAAAAGGATGTTGAAAAAAATAACACTGGTTGTGTCCAGGATGGAAAGAAGGCAGCCAAAGGAAAGCAGGGCAGTGTGGGCACTTCTCACTTTTTAAATATTAAACAGGCTTATGCTAGAAAAGATGGTTCTCAAGTCAATAATCTTAAGAACACTAGAAAAAGAACAGCAAATTAAACCCAAAACAAGCAGAAGAAAAAAATAATATGCTTAAGAGCAGAAATCAGTGAAATTAAAAACAGAAAAACAACGGAGAAAAATTAATGAAACCAAAAGCTGGTTCTTTGAATAAATGAATAATACTGATAAATCTCTAGTCAGACTAAGAAAAAGACACAAATTACCAATATCAGGAATGAAAGAAGGGTTATCAACCATGCATTCAATAAACATGACAGAAATGAGGAAATGTTATAAAGTCCATAAATTTACAACTGAAATGAACTGGACAGACACAAACCACTCCTTGAAAAACACCCGCCATTACAGCTCATGCAAGAACAAACAGGTAACCTCCATAGGCCCATATCCATCACAGAAACTAACTCTGTATTTTTAAGCCTTCCAAAACAGAAAGCTCCTCATGCAGAAAGCTATTCTGGTGAATTCTAAACATTTAAAGAAGAAATAATTGCATTTCTATGCTAACTCTTTGAGAGATTAAAAAAAGAGAGAGAGAGAGTAGAAACAGTTTCCAAATCTTTTATGAGACCCGCATTATTTTGATACCAAAAACACAATAATCCATTGCAACAAAAGAAAACAAGTAGGTATCCCGCACAAATGCAGACACAAAAATCCAGATGCCTAGATCCCACCCTGGGCTTGGTATTTTTAGAAAGTTTCTCGTGTTATTTTGCTATGCACCCAGAGCTGAGAACTACCAACACACAACTTGGAAGGCGGTACTAAGACTTTAGCTTTTATTTTGCAGGTATAAATCAAAGGACATAATAAAAGATGAAAGAATAAATCATGTTGTGATTGTATAACTCCTTCTAACTCCAAATCTCCTGCTTTTCCTTCAAAGACAAAAATGATACCTATTCCTGCTGCAAAGAAGCACCTGATGCCATTCCTGCAAACAGGAGAGTGTGGCGGAGCCCAGCATTCTGGCAAGAGTCAGGGCAAACTCAACTCTGCTACTGAAGAGTTAACCCACAGTCCCCATTGATACATGCCACATGCCAGGGCGTACTGGGTACTATGACACCTTCACTTCTGAAAATTATTATAATAACACTTTTTTCCTAATCTTCAAAATGCTTTAGAAACATTAATATTTACAACACCTCTCATCTCTTCCTCAAATATTCTTTAACTCAGCTCAAATGCAAATATTCGTTTGGATATTGTTATCCTTCTCAATTGACCTGAATCAGCACTGGTATCCTTTTCCACTCATTAGTACTATTAATACTCTCGGGGCTCCTGGGTGGCTCAGTAGTTAAGCGTCTGCCCTTGGCTCAGGTCACGATCCCAGAGTCTTGGGATCAAGCCCCATATTGGGCT